GTGTCGACCGTTTCGGTGGCAGATTCTTCACTGGGTATTTCTTCCTCAAAAAAATCAGCAGTGGGTTCAGGTTCTGTAAGATTGGGGGTAATTTGTGAATGGAAGGGAAAATGGCTTTCAAAGAACTTGACATCTCGACTGACAAATATTTTATTATTGTCCAAATCGAGAAGGCGCCATCCTTTTTGGCCGAATGGATAGCCAAGGAAAACGCAGCGTCGAGAACGGGACTCAAATTTGTCTCCATGGTGGGATTGATTGTGGGCATAGGCAAGACATCCGAAAACCCGGATATGACTATATGAGGGGGTTTTTTCATAGATCATGGAATATGGGGTTTTGCCTTTGTGTAGCTCAGAGGGTGTTCGGTTAATTAGATAGGCAGCGGTGAGAATACAATCACCCCAGAATTTAAGGGGTATGTTGGCTTGGAAGCGAAGGGCTCTAGAAATGTTGAGAATGTGACGGTGTTTTCGTTCGACTCGACCATTTTGTTGTGGGGTACCGACGCAAGAGGATTCAAAAATAATCCCATGACTCTCAAAGAAAGATTTTAAACAAGTGAACTCTGTACCATTGTCACTTCGTACAATTTTCACTTGTTTATTGAATTGTCGCTCAATCATGGAAAAGAAACTACGCAAGACAGTAGGAGCTTCATATTTATGATTTAATAGATACACCCAAGTTGCCCGAGAAAAATCATCAACAATAGTTAAGAAATATCTAGCCCCAGTGCGAGACGGAGTACGGTACCCACCCCATAAATCACAGTGAATCAAGGAAAAAGGAGTAATAGATTTATTCAGACTAATTGGAAAAGAGTCACGACATTGTTTTGAACGAAAACACACATCACAAGGGGAATCAGGGATATTGGTATTTTTGGGTAAATGGAGAAAAGTGTTGACAGTGGTGTAAGAGGGATGACCCAAGCGCTTGTGCCAAATGTCCAGATCCTTCGCCTCCTTCACAGTGCAGACTTTGTCCTTCACACCTTTCTTGAGATAATATAGTCCTTCAGCCTGCTCACCCATTCCAATCACCATCTTCGAGATATAGTCCTGTATAATACAAATTTTATTATTAAACTTGACAATTAAATTCTTTTTCTCAAGAAGTTGTGAGACAGATATAAGATTGCAATTGAGTTGAGGAACTAGCAAAACATTTTCTAAGGTGATCAAATTATCCACAATCACACTCCCCTTTTGGTTGGCTATTGCACAATCTCCATTCGGTAGGCCAACTGAGCAAGGTTTTATTGCTTCCAAATTTTCAAGACACTTCTTATCACCGGTCATATGTTGACTGGCTCCACTATCAATGATCCAAGAAGTGTTAGTCATACCTGAAAATTTACTTTCCATACCCGAATCCTTCTTGTTTAAGAGTCCCATAAGTGT